TTAATTATATTAAAAAATATAATAATTTTTAAAAATTAATATTTTAATACCCATTTACTTTGTCTACAGAAATTAAAATATTTCAAATGATTTCAATGTAAAGCACTTTTGAAATTTAACGATTTATAAAAATTACAAAAATAATTCTTTCAAAATTCAATCATTTTTTTGTTGAAATTTATAAATAAAATTATTTAAAACTTTAATCATTTTATTTTATTCAATTCTAAATCAATTCCTATTAGAAAGTTCTACGAGAATGCAATTATTTAAATACAAAAATAAATAATTTATTGAATAATTAAATATTTCTTAACTTTGAATTCTTATAAAGAACTTCATCAAAATTTTTTTGAATTATTGAATTTTTACGATGAATTACATTAAAATTTTTGATAATAATTAAATTTAGTCATAAGAAATGTAATTATAGAAATGAACTAAAAATTATTATTACACTCTAAGAAACAAATTATATCAAATTTTTTTAAATAATTAAATTTTTTCGAAGAATTTTATTAAAATTTTTAAGAATATAATTGCATTCTAGAGAAGAATTTTAAAAAAATCTTTTTAAAGAATTTATTTTTTTCAAACAATTTTATAAAAAGTGTGTTTTAAACTTTTAAATAATTGAATTTCTTTGAAAATTGTATTATTTATGAAAATAATTGAATTCTTTCAAATAATCTTATTAAAATTTTTTAAAATAATTGAATTTTTTCAAAGAATTTAATAAAAATTTATTTAAATAATTGATTTTTTTCGAAAAATATTAAGTAATTGAATTCTTTCAAAAAATCTTATTAAAATTTTTTAAAATAATGGGATTCTTTCAAAGAATTTTATTAAAATTCTTAAGAATAGTTACATTTTTCGCGGAATTAATTTAAAATTGTATTACAAATAATTGAAATCCTGCGATGATGTTTATAAATAATAAAATTTTTTTCAGGAATTCAATTATTTTTATAAATATTAAAACTCATCCCAGGATTTCAATTATTTAAAAAAATAATTTATAAAAATTGAATTCCTGAGAAGAATTTCATTATTTATAAAAATATTTGAATTCCTGTGAAAATTTTTTTATTTATGAAAATAATTGAATATTTTCGAAGAATTTTAATATTTATGGAAATAATTGAATTTTTGCAAATAATTATATTAATTTTTCAAAGTATTTAAATTCCTGAGGGAAAATTGTAGTATTTTAAAAAATTGTAATACAGTTTTGCCCCAGGATTTCAAACATTTTGAAAAATTAATATAATTCTTTGCAAAAATTCCATTATTTTCATAAATAATAAAATTGTTCGAAATTATTATACAATAATATACAATCTTATTATTTATAAAAATAATTGAATTTTTGCAAATAAATATATTAATTTTTCGAAATATTTGAATTCCTGAGGAAAAATTGTATTAAATTCTCAAACATAGAAAAAAGTTGCATTTAGTGTAACAAATAAAAAAAAAGTATTTAAATAACAAATCGTAAAAAAATATTAAATAGCATGTTTTAGTAGATCAGTACGAGGACCTGATATTGTTTACAATTTTGATAAATTGAAATTTACATCCATTTAATTGGAGCTTAATTAAAAATAAAGATAATTTAGAATTTCACAGATTAAATATTTGTACGAATTAAAATTCAGAGTCAACTAGATTTTAATCGATGAAAGTTTTAAAAGTTAAAATTATGATTTATTATTAACATAATTATAAATTAATTTAAAAATGTTTAGAAAGTAAATTTTTGATTCAGAATGTATGGAAAATTTATAAAATTGTTGAAATGGATGAAAATTAACGAAATAGGGGAAATAGGTAACACATTTGAAAAATGTTTGTTTGGCGTAAAATTTTCACTGCATCAAATTACAATTTAATTTAATTTAATTGCATTTAATTACTCTCTAAATTTGAATTAGTAAATTTTTCTAATAAATTAGTAGAAATTAGTATTTATTAGTTAAAATTACTTATTCAAATTTAGAGAGTAGTTCTTGATACAAAAAAACAAATTTAATTAAATTAAATTAATTTAATTGCATTTAATTAGTTCCCAATACCAAAAAGTTAAATTTAATCAAAATTAATTCAACTAGTTCTGGAAACCAAAAATTTGAATGAAATGAAATTAACTTAATTCCATCCAATTGCAATTAATTAGTTAATGATAGAAAAAAGTTACACGTCCTTTCTTTTGTCTAATATTGAAAAAAGTGTTGTGCTGTTTCGCATAGATAATCAGCATTAAAAAAGTGTACGTGTGGGCGCAATCGAGCAACAAACTACTGCCCGACTTCCTAGCCCTTCCACCTTGTTGACTTCGAAATAATCCTCCAAGAGAAAGAACTTGGGTGTGAGAAAAAGCTCTCGAGTTTTGAATATTCATCGGATCTTGTCGGTTTCACTATAGTCAACTCTGTACCTGACCTTATTTTTTCTTACGTGAGAGAGAGTTCCAGAAAGAACATCTTCTTTTTTCTTCACATAAAAAACATTCACGAGAGTTGCTGGGCTTAATTACCGCGAATGCGACAACCGTTGCCCGATTACATTTATCACACCAAGAAAATAAATCTTAATTTAATTTAATTTTCCGCCAGTTTTCTACCTATACGTGTAATATTGATTTTAAATTTTAATTTCGAGTTCTCTTTTATCAACTTACCGACCTTACCCATGGAATACTACTTTTTCCGCTCTGAGCAACTTTTTACCCCCGGAAACTACTTTTTCTCGAGTGATAAAATAAAATTTATTTACTGCAATCATTTTCTGCCCTATCGACACATGTTAAATGAAATTTGAACGAAAGTACTAAGTACTCAATAAACTTTGTAATTCAGAGTTTTTCAAATTCTAAACTTGAATTGACTGACTTTTAGCTTTGCTACTAATTCAAATTAGTAAATATTTTTACTACTTCAAATTCAGAGAGTTTAAAATTCAATATTTCATCAAAATTGCTACTGAAACTTATTTAAAATTATTTTTAAGATTTCAATTCAATTATTTTCTATCATTTTTAACTAAAATTTTTCTCTGAATTAATAATTTTTAAGAATTTAATTATTCAAAGAAAAAAAAAATTCTTAAAGAATTTAATTATTCAAATTTAAAAAAAGGTCACCTAAAATATTTCTGAAATAGACATTCAATTTTACAAAATTTCAATTATTCGAACATTTTTCAATTCAAAAAGTATAAACAAATATTTAATTAATTTCAAAAGAATTTAATTTAAAATACAGACTTTTTAATTAAAACTATTCGAAATTGAAATTTTCAAAAATTTCTACTAAACTCTTCTATTTAATTATTTTCTCGAATTTCGAACTAAAATTCTTCTCTAAATCAATTATTTTTAATAACTTTCCAGAATTTAAATATTCAAAGAAAAAATTCATCTAAAATATTTTAGAAATCCATACTTGTTCAAAATTTCAATTACTCAAAAATTTTCCAATTAACTACCTACACAAAAAATTTAACTACTTTCAAAAGAATTCGATATAAAATTAAAGAGAAAGAAACGAAAATTTTCAGAATTTTCAATTAAAACTATTCAAAATTTCAAAAATTGCAACTTGAAACCTTTTTGAATTATTTGAATTTCTGGAAATTTCTACTAATAACTCTTCTAATATTTAATTATTTCCTCGAATTTTTAACTCAAATTCTAGTCTAAATCAATTATTTTTAATAATTTTAAATTAAGTTCTCAGAAAATTTAAAGCAACAATATTTCTGAAATACACTTGTTCAAAATTCAATTTTACTAAAATTTCAATTACACAAAAATCTTTCAATTAAATATATATACGCGAAAATTCAAGTAATTTCGAAAAAATTTAATAAAAAAATTTAAGAATAATAAAATATAATCTTTAAAAATTTAATTAAAAAAAATTCAAACACAAATTTTCAAAAATTTTAATTCAATACCTTTTTGAATTATTTCTGAAAACTTCTACTTATAACTCTTCTAATATTTAATTATTTGCTCAAATTTTAAACTAAAATTCAACTCTAAATCAATTATTTTTAATTTTCATTCAGTTTTTTGAAAATTCAATTATTCAATTATTAAATTATATAAAGAAGAAAGTTCATTTCAAATACGTCTAAAATTTAATTGTTTTCAATTTAAATATACGAAAATTCAATTATTCCAAAATTTTTCAATTGAAATAATTTTTATAATTTAACTAACTTCAAAAAAATTTGAATAAAAATTTTCCAAAAACCAAATTTCTCCAGAATATTTAATTGGAATTATTTAAAAATCAAATTTTCCAGAATTTCAATTTGAAACCTTATGAAATTAAATTATTTATAAAAATTGCAAACGCAATTTTTCCAAAATTCAATTATTTTTTTAATAAAAAATATTAAATTATTTTTAAGTAAAATTATTAGCTAAGTAATTTACGACAATAATTTTATAATAGTTCTTCAAGAATTAAATTATTTTAAATAAATTCAATTTTGTCAAGTTTAATTATTGTCAGAAATAGAAGAAATTTAAGGTTTCGTATTAAAAATCGTGATGATTTCAAAAAATATATACGACAAACAAAACAAAAAATTCAAAAAGAAATAAATCTTTCTAATATTTTCAAAGGTAAAATTATTTTAAAATTACTTTTTTTACTGGACACCGAAAAAACGAGAATTTTCTCGCAACCAGTAGTAATAACTCCGTAATTACATGTAATTCTTGTAATAATCTGCATGTAACTTTTCTTTTATAAACTTCTAAATGTACTATTTTCACTGTTGTGTAAACAATAGTATTGCGTTCTTTTATTTATTTTTTTATTTTTTATTCGCTCAATAAATACTTTTTTGTATTCTTTATAGTTTTTCGGTTCGGAAAACTATTCTTCCTCCCCAATATTTCCATTCGCCTAGGCGAAAATTTCTTTTTTCAAGAATCATACTTAAAATGGTAAATAAAAAAAAAAGTTTAAGTGACTCACCGGGATAGTCGCAGTCGTGCTCGTCACTGTTGTCATGGCAGTCGATTTTGTAGTCACATCGTTGAGTTTCCAAAATACATCGTGAAACATCGCAGGCGAATTCTCCAATACTGCAACCTGAAAAAATTCCAAATCGTTAAAATTATTCTTATATTAGAAAAATAATAAATCACTTTTTTTTAACAAAAAACAAAAAATCACAAATAAATCACTTTATATTATGAGAAGCAAACAATAAGACCATTAATTTCCCAAAAGAACTATTTAAATCGCTTAATAACAATTTTTATACAAACAAAATAATAGTACCAATATTAATAACAATCGACTATTTTTTTTCGTTTTGAATTTTGTCAAATTCCTTTCGAATTTGTCTTATGGGCGACAATAAAAGGATAAGACAATAAGATATATAGATAGGTAAGATATTAAACAATCTTATAATAATAATTATTATTCAAACTTGTTGAAAGTTTCCAAGACCAGTCCGGAAAGTTGAGAAATAATTGTGAAGCCCTCTGAAGAAAGGGACAAGAACAAAAAGTTTTAGGTTATGTTAATAATTTTTTTTTTCTTTTTTGGAACTGCAGAAGTAAAAAATACAGAAAAATAATCATTATTAGAATTTAAAATTTGTAACTTGTAAAACTTGTAACTTTTAAAACCATATAATTCAAGAGAAATAATGATTAACATCACTTTTTGACACAAATAGAATCTTTAACATAACCTTCAAATAGGAAGCTTATTGCGCAGACTCGAGAAATTTATCGACATTCGAGTCTGTGCAGAAAGTTTTATAATATATTTGGAGGTTATGTTAAAAACTGCATTTTTATCAAGAACGTCAAGAACTGAAATTAAACAATATTTCTCTTGAATTTTATGATTTTAAAAGTTGCTGCAAGTTTTACAGTTTAACTAAAAAATAAAAAACTATGTGGTGAATGTAGGCCAATGTACAAGAAGTTCACTAACCAGATTCATGGGATAGAAAAGAACACAAATATATTTCAGTCCTTTTCCAACTCATGCTTCACATTCACAAAACTTATTGCGCAGACTCGAGAAATTGATCGATATTCGATAATTGAATACCTCGAGTCTGCGCAAAAAGTTTTATAATGTATTTTGAGGTTATGTTAAAAACTACTTTTTTATATTAAAAAAAATAAAAGTTTAAAATAGTCCACTGGCCTTAAATTTATCACAAACATAACCTATAATACTTTTAGAACTTGTAGATTCGAAGCAATTTTACTCCCTTTCTTCAGCACACGCCACTAAAACCACAAAAAGATGTAAAAAATTAACTGTACACACCTATAGATTAGAATTCAGAGAAGAAACATGAAGCTAAATACTATCATGCGTAAGCGAAACATAAGACAACAAATAATTAATTGCACTCGATATTAAAAAGCAATATTTTTTAATAAAAACATCTCTTTCCCATCCACCGACCACATTTTAAAAGGTCGACTTATACCTGGATGTGGACAATTTTCTTCATCACTTCCATCGTCACAATCAGGGGTGCCATCACACATTTGAACACCACAAATACGTCGACTTCCATCAGGACATGTCACAACGTCATCTGCTCGACATTTATTTTCAATTGGTCTGTTCGTCGTATTGAACAATTGGTTAGAATCCGGTTCTTCATCTCGACCATGTTCAGTTGCTGTGATGTCAGTACAATATTGTTGCGATTTTTTTTCTCTTTTATTAAATATATTATATATTACAGTCGGGGGCAAAAAGTATTGAACGAAACAAAACTTTTTCTTTCGTTCATTTTTGCACGACTCGATAATGTATGAATAAAATTCTAAATAATTTACTTATGAATAATCTCTACAATATTATATAAATGAATAAACGATAGATAAAGGGAACATAATTCCAAAATAAAATTGTCATTAATATTATATTGATAAAATGACAGCTTTTTTTTCATTATTTTAAATTATAAATTTCATAACTTGTATTTTTTTCAATATGAATAATTCAAGTCATTTTTTTTGTCACGAATTTCGATATTTTTTGCGCACTTAAAAGTGAATATTTAAAGAATTGAGTTGATTTTAAAAACTTCAACGTTCTGTATTCATTCTAAAAAGAGCAAGTGGATGTAAATTAAAACTGATGGCTTTTGTGTTATAAATTAATAAAATTAAAATCATGTATTCATTTTAGTCACATTATGGATTTGGGAGACAATTGTCACTTTATCCAAAAAGAGTCCGGGGTTCAAAAATTATTAAATAAACTCAAAAAAACGTATTTCTTTTTTGTGATAAAATACGCATTTTAAAAAAAGAAAATCTTACACGTTTAGGGGTTTGAAAATAATTCGACAATACTCACTTGAAGGACAGTCCAATTCGTCAGATCCATCGTCACAATTTTTAATACCATCACAACGAGAATGAAGAGGAACACAGGCACCACTACGACACGTCAATTCCGTTAAGCTGTTGCATTCATATGCAGTATCGCCTATTCCTAGTTTGTGGCACATTCACATTTCAAACAAGGAAGCCAAATCCGGATGTAAATCAACATGGAAAGGAATTAAAAAATAAAGCCCAAATAAATTCTAAGAAACTTAGGAACTTGAAAATACTTAAAAATACTTAAAAATAAGAAAAGCATGCGCAAAAAATTATTTTAAATAATTCAAACGCTTATAAATATATTTATATTGAGTCATAAATTTAAATGAAAATTACAAGACTTTCTTTCTCGATGCTCAATAATTCAATTATGTATATGTCAAAAAAGAAGATAAATTATAGTGAGATAAATGAGATTCAATATTAATTCATATTCAATTCTTATGAAAATATATAATTATAGAAATCTCTCATTGCGAAGGTTGTTAATGAAATAAAATTCTTTGAAAGGATAATCGAGTATTAATGAATAGAAAAAAGTTGTTAAATTTTACACCTGTATGGATAAGAATAATTTCGATTTTAACTATACACTGAAAGAAATACTTTTTAATTGAAATTTAACTGTCAGTTAATTATATATTATGTTGACACTTTACTTTCTTGCATCCTGTTATATTTTTTTTTTATTTTACGTTTAATTTTAATACTTGTAGCAACTTTTACAACTGTTATTATACTCACCCTCCAAGGAGGTGATACTTTTATTTCCCTACTTCGTCTAATTTCAAAGTCGCCACAAAAATTTAATTTTTTTTCTCTCTGACATTTCTCTGATTTTTAGACAAAATTTTGTACTTAATAATTATTATTTTATTATTTTTTTTTATTTTTTATAATTACTATTATTGTTTTTTATCTTAATAATCTGATTCACTCCAAAAATGATTAGATACTCAAAAAAATGTTCTATTACATTTATTTACAAATTTCTTCAAAAGTAAAATTGATCACTCTGAGTCTTTGACTCGGAATAATCAATTTCTTCATGTTTTATAATAATTAAAAATAAAATCATTATTTTATGTTATAAAAAAATAGTTACTGTAACTTCTTCAAAATTATTTTCATCCTTTCAGTTCAATTATTATTTTCTAGAATTTTCAACTAAAATTCTTCTTTAAATCAATATTTAAAATAATGTTTGAAAAAGTTTTTTGCGAATTTTGAAATTAATTTCTTTACAATTCAATTTTACGAAATATCGATTATTCGGAAATTCTTCAATTAAATATATTAGAAAAGAAAAATTATCAAATAATTAACAAAATCAATTAAACTTTTTCAAAAAAAAATTAGTTCTACAAACTTGTTAGTTATAAGTGTGAAAAATTCCAATTTTCAAAGAGTTTAATTTGAAATTCAGACAATAATTCTTTTAATATTCAACGAGAATATTAAAAAATTAAAATTCAGACAATAATGCTTTTAATATTCTACGAGAATTCAATTATTTAAATATAAAAATAAATAATGTATTACATAGAAATTAAATATTTCTTAAAATTGAATTCTCATAAAGAATTTTATCAACGAATTTTTAAATAATTGAATTCTTTATACGAATTTCAAGAAAATTTTTAGAATTACATTTTTTAAGAAACTCGATTGAAATTGTATAAAAAATAATTGTAATTCTGCGATGAGTTTTACTATTTATGAAAATAATTGAATTCGTAAAAATAATTGAATTCTTGCGAAGAATTTTAATAAAATTGTTAAGAATAATTACATTTTTCGAGGTATTCGATTTAAAATTGTATTAAAAATTGAAATTTTGCCATGAGTTTTACTATTTATGAAAATAATTAAATTCCTAAAAAAGAATTTTATTATTTATTCAAATAATTGAATTATTGCGAAGAAATTTATAAAAAAATTTGTAAATAATTGAATTCCTATGAAATTTTTATTCTTTATAAAAAAAATTAAATCTTTGCGAATAATTTTGTTAAAATTTTTTGTATGTAAATAATTGTATTCTTTTGGAAAATTTTATTATAATAGCAGATATTGAAAACCATTGAATTCAGTAGAATTTTTGAATAATGAAAATAATTGAAATTTTGACAAGTATTTTATTAAAATTTTTGAAAATAATTTTTTCAAAAAAAAAAATGATCTACGATTGTTAGTTAAAAGTATGAGAAATTCAAATTTTCATAAATTCAACTAAAATTAATTCTTTAATCAATTTTTATAAGAAAATTCTGCAAGAATTCAATTATTTAAACACAAAAATAAAAAACTTATTAAATAATTAAATTCTTTACACGAATTTTAATAAAAAAATTTAAGAATAATTAAATTTTTAGAGGAATTCGATTAAAATTGTATTAAAAATCATTGAAATTCTGCGATGTGTTTTATTATTGATGAAAATAATTGAATGCCAAAAAAGAATTTTTTTTTATTTATGAAAGTAATTGAATCTATGATTTAATTTTATTATTTATGAAAATAATTACATTATTGCGAAGAAATTTATAATTAATTTGTAAATAATTGAATTCCTGCGTGAAATTTTTATTATTTCTGAAAATAATTAAATATTTGCTAATAATTATGTTAAAATTTATTGCAAATAATCGAATTCTCTTAGAAAATTTTATTATAATACTAGATATTTATTAAAAATCATTGAATTGAAGAAAATATTTGAAAAGAATTGAATTTTAGAAAAGAGTTCATGGTAATATCATAGTTTTTGAGAAAAACAAAAAAAAGACACTAAAATTGAGAATTTTCTTATGAATTTTAAAAATTTAACTTTTTTCCAGTACTTTTAATAAAAAATCCCTGAAATCCCTGACCTGTGGCAACCCTGCATTTCTTTTCTTAAAGCGATCAAATTCAACAGTTATATAAAAAATCTCTCATTGAAATTTGAAGCTAAAAAGTTATATTCTATAATAAAGGAAAAATTAGATAAAATTAATTATTAAAATGTAATATAATATTTAATTAGCAGGAAAATCTCAAAATATTTCTTTCAGTTTATCAATTTTAACACTCTTTATAATTTCACCTTTTATATTTAAAAAAAGAAATTAATTCGAGACTATTATCGCATTTTTATGTGGAAGAAAATATTATTTTAGTGCTAACTTCTCGTCGTACTACTTGCAAGTAGTAATGTCTGTCAATCAAGCGGGGGATACAAAAAGTTAAATGCCAGTCCCACCGTAACACGACACTACTACTTGCGAGTATAGCTATAATAGTTTAGCGGGAATTCAACACAAAAATAATGTTTTCTCTCGGAAAAATTTGCGACATCTACGAATTATTTTTATTTTAAACTTCTGTATATACAACAATAAATAAATTAATAAAAATTTGATAATTTTTGCTAGTGTATAATAATAAACATCAAGCATAATATAAAATAAGAATAGTATAATAATAATAAACATTTTTATAAAAATTTTGTTTATATATTCATAAGAAGCAAGAGTGAAAATTTTTCTAATTCCTAGCATCACATTAACAATAACAACTTTCATTCATCATCAGCATCATCATAATTGAAAAAATAATTTTTATGATGCATGCATTTCGTAAAACTAATGGTTTTCAACATATTGATTTATATTTACATGCATAACTATGCAATAAAATAGAAATCTTGGTAAAATAGTAAAAAAAAATATACAGTAAACTATAGTAAATTTCTACAAGAAAAAAAAAGATGAAAAAAAGAGATCATTTTATAGAGAAAAATATTTATTTTATAGAAAAGAAAAAGAGAATGATTGGCTTACCTTGAAAACTGCGGAAGGAGAATCCCTCTGGACTAACTTGGATATAACCCAAAGTGTGAAGTTGCAGATTTGCTTCAAGAATGTTTCGCACCTCATCCTCGTTAGAAATTGAGGTTCCAATGTCAAGTGTGACTTGAGACTTGAAAGCGTCGGTTGTATTTCTGAAAATAGATACTTTATCTTAGTAGGTAATGAGCCTCTTTATATAATTTCTATATTAACATGGTGAGAAAATTTATACCGATTTTTTTTATATAGAAGAAGAAAAGGAACAAGACGAAAAATAACAAAAAGAACAAGAAGAAAAATAACAAGAAAAGGAGCAAAAACAAAAATAACAAGAAGAAAAGGATAAAAAAAAGAAAAATTCTTAACCAATTAATCACAGGATAAAGAAAATAATATGGAAGAGATAATCTATATTAAGGGGAGGGTAAACCTATATTTTCAACTATATGAAGAAAATATTTTAAATATTTAATAAAATTATCTTTATAGTAATTTTTTGAGAGGAATTCAATAGTCATAAAAAAAATTGGTCAAAAAATATTTTGACCCTTTTTGAATTTTTATTCTTTCTAAAAATTGATAGATATTGAAATCAATTTTTAGAAAAAATAAAAATTCAGAAAGGATCAAAATATTTTTTGACCAATTTTTTTATGACCATTGAATTCCTCTCAAAAAATTACTATAAAAATAATTTTATTAAATACTTAAAATATTTTCTTCATGTAGTTGAAAATATAGGTTTACCCTCTTCTTAATAATCGTTGTATTTCGGAAATATGTTCGCAATTTAAAGTTAGTTGTTTGCTTTTTTATTTATTAACTTTCTTAAATAATTTTTCTTTTGAAATATTTTCAATTTTTAAATTAATGTATTACCTAAAAATCATCGAATTTTTGCAAAGAATTTTCTCAAAAAATTTGATAATAATAGAATTCCTTCGAAGAATTTTATTATTTAGGAAAATAATTGAATTCTTGCGAAGAATTTTGTTAAAATTTTAATTAAATTCATTTTGAAGAATTTCTTTGAATTTTTTTTAATTATTTTAATTTAAATTTTTTAAAATAATTGAATTTTATGAACAATTTCTTTCAAGTTTTTAAAATAATCGTATTTGTTAATAATTGAAATTAAACATTATTTTAGTTATTGAATTTTATTAAAATTTTAGAAAATAATATAATTCTATTCAAATTTTGTATATCAAATTAAGAAAAGAATTGAATTCTTTGGTGAAATTGTTTTGAATATAATTGAACTTTTGTAAAGAATTTTACTATTTATAAATAAAATTGAATTGTTTCGAAAGATTTATTAAAATTGTATTAAAAATAACTAAATTCCTGCAAAGAATTTTACATTTAGAAAAATAATTGAATTGATTTGAAGAATTTATTAAAATTTTGGAAAATAATTGAATTCTATTGAAATTGAATTCTTTCGTGAAATTGTTTTGAATATAATTGAATTTTTGCAAAGAATGTTACTATTCATAAATGAAATTGAATTGTTTCGAAGGATTTATTAAAATTTTAGAAAATAATTGAATTCTTTTGAAACAATTTATAACGAATTAAGAAAAAAATTGAATTCTTTCGTGAATTTTTTTTTAATATAATTGAATTTTTGCAAAGATTTTACTATTTAAAAAAATAATTAAATTGTTTCGAAGGATTTATAAAAATTTTAGAAAAAAACTGTATTCGTTCGTGAAATATTAAAATTTTGTTTTAAAATAATTGAATTTTTGCAAAAAAATTTTCCTATTTATAAAAATAATTGAATTCTTACGAAGAATGTTATTATTTTTTAAAAAAATTGAATTCTTTCGAAGATTTTTTAAAAATATTTTGAAATTAATAAACATGAATAATTAGTTAGTAAATTAGTTAATATTTGAATTTTTCTAAAGTTTGAATCTGAAATTATTTAAAAATTCATATTTGAAAATAAAAAATTTTGTAATTTGCATTATAATAATAATAAGAAATTAAACATCGCGTTCCGCGCGCTAGGGCGCGTAACATTTGCTACTATTTTATAACTCTCTTATCAATTTGATAAATGATTGAAAATAACTATAAAAATTCTTACTCTATCTTGACGACAGTAACGTGAGTGAAATCCTCGGGTGCTTCCTTTTGATATAATCGCGCCAAAGTTTCTGTTAAGTTGTAACTCAAAGCTTTGTACTCCTGAGAATTTCTATCGGCGTAGTCCCTCCTGTACGGCTCGCCAATTGTAAGAGTTGCTCGATAAAATCCTAAAAATAAATTTTAATACTTTATTGGAATTATTGTTGGGAGTTTAACCTATTCTTTGCAATCTGCATGCAATAGTACCATTTTTCGCCACCACTACGTCTAAACGCAACGCTGATTGGTCCAATTCAGACCAATAGTCTAAATTCACTTGTTAGAAAAATTTCCAAGAGATGTCGTTTCGGACATTTAAATATCAGGTTGAGTCATTTTTTTTAGGTTAAGTTGACGCGTTACTAATGCATTATAAACAATAAACTAAAACAAAAAAATATTTACAATGTGTTAGTAAAGCGACGACTTAACCTTAAAATCTTCAGGTTCAATCCGCAATAAAGATTTTCACGTCAAGTCTAACGAAGTTGAAGTCCACAACGTTTATCAACGAAAAAACTTTATTTAATACATTCAAGTATTATTTTTAATTTAATATTTAATTGTAAAATAATTATTGTCAAAATATAAACATCAATCTTTTTTTTCTAAATATTTTTGTGACAATATTGCTCCGTGTTTTTAATTAATTTACTAAGTAAACAATTTTTTTTCGTTGATCAACGTTGTGGACTTCAACTTGGTCAAGTCTACACGTTAGCAACGCATTTGAAATAATAGATTCTACTGTTTATAACGCACAAATAACGCTCCAACTTAACCTAAAATTTCCTATTGTGGACTGCCTTAACCTCAGGCTAAGTTTTAAAGTTAACTCCTTAGGTTAAGTCTACTCGTAACTAGCGCGTTGTAAACTCTAGAATCCATTGTTTCCAACGAATTAGTAAAGCATACACTTAACCTAAAAATATTTATTGCGAACTCAAGGTAAAATAATACTAAATCATCTAATCGACACAATTTTTTTCGTAAAATCGAGAAACTGCGATTTATAACAAGAATTATAGCAAAATTTGTAACTTACTTGTCTTTTTCGAATCGGTTCTCCTAGGGGGATCCAAGTCAATGGCACTTCCTTCAGCCTCTCCTGATCCAACAAGATCTTCATCATCGCCGATTCGATACCTTGTTTCTGTCCGTCGAGATTCCGATTGTCCGATGTCATTTGACTGCTGGTAGTTTTAATATAAATTATAATATAAATTTTTATAGGAATCTGAAATCACGTGCTAATGACCTCGTTGTGTCAGCCATCTTGTTTTTTCTAGAACATGTTTCAAGGTACAGTCCCATGTCTGCGTGGGAAACATTCAACCAATAGGAACTTCTGATTTAATAGAAATTATTCTAGCAGATAATTCTCATTGGTTAAACGCTTTTCCTAAAGTCCTAAAGCTAAAGTCTCTAGGCTACTTGGGACACAACCAAAAATGGCTATCACAACGAGGTTTACACTTAATGGGGTCGCAATTAAAAACCAACCAACTTTAACCGATTTAGTGCGTGTGATACTAGAATTATCATCGCGATATCCGATATTGTTTTGGGACCACTGATTTCTAGGGTAAAAAGATTATTCCGCATTACTTACGTCATTTCTGTGTTCCTCATCCAGCAAAGACTCTCCATCGTAGATGGCGTTCTCCTCGCCGCTTTCTCGTGACACTCTGTTTGGCAATGAGAAATGTGTTCCATGATCGGCAGTCTTTTTCAGAGTTGAACCATCCTTGAAAATTGATTCCTCTTCGTCAATCAACGGAGCAACAATCCTGTCGTCTTCTTTTTGTTCTGCATACAACGAAAAAAATCTTATAAATTCACACGAGAAACAATACTAAAAAATGTTTGCCATTCCATTGTAGTCTCCACCAGGCGACCGATTTGTCGTTTTTTGTCGACAACCAACGGTCACTTGAGTACTTAAGGGCACTCAAGTTTTTCGTATAGACTTTAGTCAACGAAAAAAGTATTGCAACTGTATAAGCATATAAGACGGAGAATTTAGTTTAAACCACGATATTCGAACACGTGGTTGAACAAATAATGTTAAATACATCAAACATGTGTTCAAATGCGCAGAATATTAAAATTCGTCCACTGGTCATTGTACTTTTTGGAAGACACCTACCATAATCACAATTATTTTTAAGTATAAATATAGTTGCAAACCTGGAACGACTGTGGTTGTTGTTGTTGAAGTCGATGTTGATGTCGACGTCGACGTTGACGTCGATTTTGACTTCGTAGGCGATGAGAACCAATCAAATAATCCCCTTTTTATCCTCTGCAAAATGGATTCATCCTGATGTTTCTCTACGAGAGGAATTTCAGCCTCGGACAATCTGCTCTCAGCGAACACCAGATCATCATTCTGTAATGCATTACAAAAGAATTAATTAATATTTCTAGTTTAATCCATCCTAAATTTACCTAGTACCAAAACACTGCTAAACAATTCCTCTCCGTAAGGAATTAGAGCCACAGATAAAATTTGGACCGCCATGCGTTAGCATGGGGGTTCGAATTTTATATGTGGCTATACTAGATAATTCACTTGATGGCAAGTGAACTAACTAAAAAACTCCAGTAGCAAGAAAAGAACGATGTCCATCTTTAAGAAACCCTACCAATAGAATCTCTTTTAGTTAGTCCACCAGGAGCCTTATCGGATCCAGAAGAATTGTCTCGGTACAAACAGTACAAAATTGTTTTGACAGTTGGAAGTGCCTAAAGTCATTTAAGTAGAAGAGCAACAACAAACAGTACAAAGATTTAAGCTCAAAACTAAATGATCCATTATCTCCAAACCATACGATTTTTCAAACACTCCAAAAAGATTTCCTCTGTAATATTTAAAGTAAAAAATCAACCAGGAGAAATAAAAAAAAAAAGGTAAAATATTGAAAAAAGAAAAGAAAGGATCTTGCAAATTTAGATGCATTTTGTCTGACTTGTGAATCAAACAAACAGACATGTATTGCTTATAAATGTGTATTGCATTTATATACGTGTGTACATATAAGACATTTATCTGAGACCTGGAATGCATAGGACGTATCTCCAAGTATTCTCACGTGCCTCTCATAAAGAACCAATTCGCACCTAAACACACGATATAAATTCAAGTTCGGTGAGCCATTCCCTCGAATCTTTGGTCGTGATTCGTAAGAGAGTAGAGGAACTTGAAACTGCCCACATCCTTGAGGTCAACGAGGTCTTTTGCCAAGAAATTGATGAACCATAGACAGCTTCAGTTATCAGAAAGAAGAAAAATCTCTAAATCGTTTTATATACCCAAGAATTTTTAAAAACATGCGCGCCACATTTTACGAGTCTGTTCCAGAGTTGGTTACAAAATTATTCTCAAAACATAAAAAGTAATAAAAATCGTTTTTTTTTTTTAAAAAAAGGGGGGAATAAAATAAAACGAATTCTATAAAGAATATATTAGCCATAGGGTTACGGGTAGTATATAGTTTTTTCATGAGTTTCTCTCAGCATTTTACTCATTTTACTTCTTCATTTCATATTTTCCACTGACAGTAAACAATTTTTTATTGCTTAAGATTCTTTTCTTTTGCACCTCTTGAATCAATAATAAAACATCAAAAATAATTTATACGTTGATGAATAATTAGATAAATACGAAGAAGATTTTTCGTTTTTAATACACAACAATGGCGCTTCTGAAGATTTAACCTTACCTCAATTTCTTTATGCCAAGAGACAAAATAGCCGCAAATTTGCGGAATATAATTTTTTTTTTGAAAATAAAATTTTGTCACTATATTGAATTTACCTCTGGGAAATTGCCAGTTTTTAAGCGTCTATTATGACAATGCCATGAGATTTTAATGTCTATTCAACAAAGGTATGCTATAGAGATATTAAATTACGTTAAGCTGACAGTGTAAAAGATATAGCAATTCAAAACCGGAAGTTACAGATTCCATAAGATAAGGGACAATACATTTTCATTTTATTTCGTCTATGTAATTATGTGGAAATACTCTATATTTCGTTTATATAATTTTTATATATTTCTTTATATAATTATTAAAATTAAGATCTGCTTATATGGGGGAAAATTATTTCTGTTAGAATTAGCGAAACCGAAATTATAATTTCAAGTTAAAATTAGAAAAATAGAAATAATTGTTACAGTTAAAATTAGCGAAACCGAAATGTTGATACACTGATAAGTGATAAGAATATTAGGCGCCTTTAAAATGACGTTAAGATGATGAGGTCATACATTCGAATTACATAATTTGAACTTGCGTCAAATGAGGATAACGACATCACGCCTAGCATTTATTAATCTTAACTCGAGTGTAGAACGCTAAATGTTTTTTCACGATACTTATTCACGTTTGCGATTTATTGTATGCAAACTTTTTTTCTGTTACTAATTAATAACACGCACATCATTCGATATTAATTTTTTAAAAGTGTACAATTATTTTAATAATATAACTAAGCGATTCTCTCTGAAAAAGCGCAAAAAAACTTAAACAGAAAGAAAAGATACTTTATAGGCACGTTTAAATGGTTTACCTTCATCTTGCCACAATATTTAATTTTGTTTTTTCCTAACATTTCCCTGATTTTGAGATAAAATTTTTCCTTTTTCCCTGACACTAAAGAATATTCAGATTCACTCTAAAAATAATTAGATATTAAAAAAAATATTCTCTTACATTTATTTACAAATTTCGTCAATTGTAAAATTATTCGAAAACATCAATAACTTCTTTTTTAAATAAATATTTATTCATTACTAGTTTTCCATGAGAATTAACATTTTTCAAAAATTTCAAATTCAAAACTTATAAAATTCAATAACTTATAAGAATGTTATAAAAAATTTCTTTAAACATTATAATAATTAAAGATGACCGAATCATTATTTTGCATTTTTTTATAATAATATTTTTAAACTTCTTCAAAATTATTTTCACTATTTTAATTCAATTATTATTTTCTACAACTTTTAACTAAAATTCTTCTTTAAATTCATTAGTTTTAATAATTTTTAAAAATGTTCTTTGAGAATTTTAAAGTCCATTTGTTTACATTTCAATTTTACGAAATTTTGATAATTCGGAAATTCTTCAATATTAAATATATATTAGAAAATAAAAATCTTCAAATAATTTTTAAAAAAATTAATTAAAAATTTTCAAATAAATTAATTCTACAAAATTGTTATAGTTACAAGTATGAAAAATTCAGATTTTCAAATATTTTAATTTTTGAAACCTTTTAAAATTTATTATCTAAAGATTAAAATTTTAACTAAAATGCATATTTAAATAATTTTTTATTTAATTCTACGAGAATTCAATTATTTAAATAGAAATATAATTAATTTATTGAATAATTGAATTGATATTGAATTGTTGAACTGAGGAAATTTTTTGAAAATAATTGACATTTTGCCAAGATTGTTATTAAAATTTTTAAAAATAATTGAATTTCGTAGAATTTTATTATTTATAAAAATAATTGAAATTATGAGGAGAATTTTTGTAAAGTTTTTGAACATAATTGAATTTCTAGAAAGAATTTTATTGTTTTTGAAAATAATTGAATTCTTGAAATCAATTGTAACTCCTCCAAAATTCAATTTTTTTTAGTGTTTTTAACTAAATTAATAACATTTTCAAGAATAATTATATTTTTTTAGGAATTTGATTAAAATTGTATAAAAAATAATTAAAATTTTGTGGTGAGTTTTATTATTTATGAAGAAATAATTGAATTCCTAAAAAGAATTTTACTATTTATAAAAGTAATTGAATCCCTGTTAAAAATGTTATTATTTTTGAAAATAATTAAATAATTGCGAAGAAATTTGTAAAAAAAATTGTAAATAATTGAATTTCTGTGAAATTTTTATTACTTATAAAGATAATTGAAATTGCGACGAAAATTTAAAAAAATTTTCAAAATAATTGAAATTTTGACAAGAATTTTTATTAAAATTTCTGAAAATAATTGAATTTTGAAGAAGAATTTTATTATTTATAAAGATAATTGAAATTGCGACGAGAATTTTAAAAATTTTTTGAACATAATTGAATTTCTGCGAGAAATTTTATTTTTTTTTTTGAAAATAATTGAATTTCTGCAATTATTTGTAACTTCTCCAAAATTTAATTTTTTTGTATAGTGTTTTCAACTAAAATTCTTTTCTAATAATTTTTAATAATTAATTAAATATTTTAAGAAATTTAACTAATTTCAGAAGAATTTTAATTAAAATTCTTTTTTAAAATCCAAGTTCTTTAAAATTTCTAATTAAATTCATTCAAAATAAAAATTTTACAAAATTTTAAATTAAAACCCTTTAAAGTTCATCTATTTATGAAAATTGCAAACGCAACAGTTTTAAAATCCAATTAATTTCGAAATATTTATGTAAAATTAGTCATTAAATAATTTATGAGTAATAATTTGATGACTATTCTTCAAGAATTAATTTATTATAAAGAAATTAATTCTTTCTAATTCTAAATTAAAGTCAGAAATAGAAAAATTTGAAGGTTTTGTATTATAGAATTCGTGGTAATTTTCGTTTTTAATTTCAAAAAAATTAAAAAAGAACCGGAAATCCTTTAGGTCCTTAAAGTTAGCGTCGAGAGAATCGAAATCAAAAAAGCCTTTGAAATAATTATTTCTTTTCAATTTCGAGCAGAAAAATTCTTCTCGTCACTAAATTCAGGGACATAAATGAACATTCCTTACGCGCCTATTTTATCCGTATTATTATATATAAAATATGCACAAAAAATAAAAAGTTGTCGTCTAAAGGAGATCTAATAATAATATAACGTCGGAGGATAAAACAAGTAATTCACAAGGTATTAAGATTGTTAATTTTTCCAGTTCAAGAGTATGACACGATATAAAAAAAGAGAGGAACTAAGAAGGCCTTTCTACGGGACATGGATGTCGAGAGACGAAACTTTGTTATTCTGGACAAGTTTTACGTGGGATTTTCCAACTAAGTCCAGGATCCTTTCGCAAGAACTACGTGCTCATACTTCGACAAAACATGTCCTATCATCCAAAATCCTTAAGATGCATGGGAGATACGTGTTAAAAGCCATCTCATAATTCGTTTCGCATTCCAATCATCATCGACATTTGATCCCTCACCTATTTAATCTATATATTTATTTTTTTTTCTGCACACTTTTTTAACTCTTCGCACACTATGTCAAAGAAAAAATCCTGTGGGCTTAAAATAATCCTTGTATAGGATTTAAAAAGACGCGAAAATAAACATCAGATATGGCGCCATCTTCTGTGTTATTCATTTCAAAATATTTAACCGAGTCAAATATTTTAATTTCTAAAATTTCT